GTTGCTGCTGATACATTGTAATTGCTCGATAAATAAACTGCTGCTGAGTGAATCGAATTGGGTGAATGATTTGAATGAAGCTATTTAGAGAAAACTTGAACTTCAGGAGGAAAATATTAGCTGAACTGCAAATCACTGAACTATCATTCAATTACATCTCTCTGCAAAAGAAAGACAAAGAACACAGTACAGAAAAAAAAAAAAAACAAACCAAAACCCACAAACATATAAATACTTCTTAACGTGAAGTTCTTTTGCAACTTTACAACCTGAATCTTTTCTTACCATCGTTGGTCAGAATTATCCTTTAATCTTATGCAGTTTGTCTGATCTTCTGTACCAGGTTGTGTGTTCCTCAGTGTCGGGGACTGGATATTTCATTTCACTCACAGCACCCTCTGAAGTGGAATGATCACATGTCTTTTGCTACAGAGTTCCTGAGTCTCTCTCTCCCTGTCTGCACAAGGATCTCAGTTAAAAAGCAAATGAAATGTGAGCATTCAGTCCTTTGGCTGGACCTGTTGACTTGTGGTGCCAGGCAAATAGCTTGGTGGTTTTTCAGATTGGTTTTGTCTTTTGCTCTCTGAATTTAACATCATGTGAAGATAGAGCATAGCCTAAAGGTGCACTTAAAATGTCATCCTGTTCCTGAGCTTACTCAGACAGGCAATAGAAAATGGTACCCTTGATAATTAATGCCCTTAAAGAAATTCAGCACAGGCTAGCAACTGTAAACAATAAGTTATTAGTCAGGGAACATGCTTACAGCATGAGCATGAAATTCTTATGCGTCTTCATAGGGCAGGAAAGGGAAAATGCAAGACTCTCTGGATAATTTCATTATCATTTTTGCTTAAGCATTTTATACACAAGCAGACTGTTCATCCCATCACCCCAATCTCTTCTGCCAGCTTGAATTCCTCAATTCATTTATAAAACAAAATGGGAGTGTTGACTGCAACATTTAAATTTGGGCCACATTTTTAATTATAGATTCTATATAAACTATTGTAGCATTACTGGAGGTCTATAAAGAAGGGATAAAAGATTATTATCTTATTAAAATGCCGATTAAAAAAACAATTTTTTAAAATGTACATTTATATCATGGGAAGAGACTGGGTTAAAATTGCCCAAACTCACAAAATGAGTTTTAAGAAGGATGCCACTGCACTGCAGAAAGAAAAAGACAAAACTGGTTGAACATAAGATTTGAGTGGTTGAAATACGGTTTAATTTTTTTTTCCTTCTAGCCCCTTTTCCCCCCTTTGTAAACTGATAAAAGATTTTGTATTTTCTAAGGAAATCAACCTCATTTTTAGTTTATTTTCTAGAAGTAGAGATGTCCTTACATGTGTTTGAAAGTATGTCTGTCAAACCTCTGGAAGACTTCTCCACCAGAGCGAAGAAACCTATAAATGCATATCTTACCAAACTGTTTGGGGATTTTCCATTTTTATGTGTTTGGGCATTTTTCCCTCTTAAACATCAAAACTTAATAGTGGTGGAAGGTTAAATATTTTCCATACTTTGTTTCTGAGATTTATTCTTACAAAGAGCATATGGGGGAAAAAATTTACACACCCAATCTATTACTGATGATTACCCTTGGGGTTGGGGAGTAGGATTGGGTTTGGGGGCAACAAAGGAGGGCTCTCACCTCTTTCTCTATTTTATTTACAGTGAAAATGTACACTTGTGCCACTTGTATAATCTTTATGGCTCTTAATAAAGAAGAAAACCTTGTATTTAGAAAAAATACCTATATGGCTAATTTAAAAAGTGATATGGTACCCCTGGTTTGAACACTGTATATAGGGTTCCAGGACGGAAGAGTAGAGAGGAATTACTGTCTGCTCTGCTGGTAGCATCCACCCTCTAAAGCATTTCTGTATATAAAGATTAAATAAAAATAGGGAAGGGGGAGCGGGCAGAAGTAGAATGAAGAATCTGATATCCAGAATGGAAGGTTTCTGTTGGGGAAAGCTTCAGGAATTAACACGTTGAATAGTTATATGGAGATCACATTGAATTCATTTTCCCTAATGCTGGTTTGCTTTAACTCAATAGCCTTAAAAAAAAAAAAAAAAAAACCAACAACTCTGCCTTCATGACATCATCATTCCATTTCTTGGAGCTTTAAAAGAGAAACAAAGTTTACATGTCACAACCAAATTCTAGAGTACCTATTTAAATTATTTAATTATTTAATAATTATTAAATTATTTAAATTCTCAATTCTCTTAGGAGCTAGGAATGAAATGTAATGCTAATTTAATTTAATAATTTGTTCTTGGGACTTCCCTGGTGGTGCAGTGGTTAAGAATCTGCCTGCCAATGGGGGACACGGGTTTGAGCCCTGGTCCGGGAAGATCCCACATGCCATGAAGCAACTAAGCCCGTGTGCTACAACTACTGAGCCTGTGGTCTAGAGCCCGCGAGCCACAACTACTTAAGCCCACACACCTAGAGCCCGTGCTTCGCAACGAGAAGCCACCGCAAGGAGAAGCCCGCGCACCGCAACAAGAGTAGCCCCCGCTCGCTGCAACTAGAGAAAGCCCGCGCACAGCAACGAAGACCCAACACAGCCAAAAATAAATACATAAATAAAATAAATTAAAAATAGTAATAATAATTTGTTCTCTTTCCACCAAAACACACAATCATTGCTTGTGAAAGCCTCATCCCTTCCTTTCGTTTTTCATCAGGCTGTGATGGAACTAAAAGCTGATTTGAAGAGCAAAGTCCAGTGGCATCCCAGACCCTGTTCTCCAGACATCCAGGGTAAAGGGATATTTCATGATCATGGTGTAAACACCATTTTATTTTCCAAACATGGGCTGTGGAGGTTTAATTGGGTGGAGCTTTTTATTCTGCTCCACCCCATTATTTCTGGGATTGAAAACTATGTATGCATAAGCAAGCAGCTGGCACAAGTCTTTTGTGTGCGTGTGTGTGTTAAGGAGAAAAAGTTGGATCAAATGAGTGATTTCCTGTTCAGAGCAGGACAAAAATTTCATTCCATGAAAGGAAGTATAATTGATTCCACTTCCATCAGCATATCAAGAGGATGGCCCCAACTGGGGGATGATGCGACCCAGGGGAAGGGACCCTTCACCAGGCCAGGGGTGGGCCCTGGCTGGCCAGAGAAAGCACACACCCACATGGCCCCTTGCCTCTCATGGTCCCCCTGGAGTCTGTCAACATTTGAGTTCTGTCCTTTTTCCGCTCTTGGGAGGACACAAAATGTCCCTCCAGGTCCTACAGTCTGGGTTTGATTAAATAATTATAAACTCCCAGCAGCAGATCTATCATTTATGTTCCAGAACATGCCAGCATGTGTCTTTTGTGGCCATGCCAGCCAATCATCAAGCCACTCTTGTTATTGTCACTGAGAATGCAGTGGTCCAATATTTGTGCTAGTTCCTGGATTTGGGCGATAGAATGTTGCCCAGCAGTGTGCTGGTGCCAACATCACTACAGAACTTCACAGTAAATCCTTTCTATATTTACTCAGTCCACCACTCTGACACTGAAATTGCCTTTTATGAGCTTATGATTGGAGGCTCCCATTTTCCACTTCTAACTCTGGGAGATTATATATTCTAACAGCAAAGACATCAAGGCCTGTTGTCCGTACGTGCAGCATGGCGCGGTGGCTGCTGGCTGGTTGGGGAAAGTAGGAACCTGAAAGTGAGTAAGGGCTGATCGATCATCCCACACAAAAGAAGCACAGAGACCATCTCTTTAGTCCGTTGGGTTAACATGTCTAAAATTTTCCACTTCCTCCACAGCTGAAGCCCAAAATAAAGTAGCAATATTTCATATTAATGTTATCTCCTACAAACGCACAAAGGGAGGTGGGGGACTCCTAATTGAGTTCAAAGGACATTTAAGGAGATATTTTTGGCTCTTTCCTTAATTGAGCCACAAACGAGCTCTAAATTTTTCCCATTCAAAGTGTATAATATCAGCCATCACTTGGAAAATCATCAAAATACCTGAACAGGAAGTCTCTACTTTTTGTGTAGATGAATAATCATGCTAGCAATAATTTCCATGGCCAGAATTACCTTTCTATCCCACTATTCCACCAATGATAACACAAGAAGGAGCTTCTAGAGATGATGATGTATACAAACACAGCGATGAAACACGAGTTATGTTTTTGGAAATGGAGAGATGTGTCTTCTTTTGTTTTGTATAATTCTGTATAAAGGGGTTCAGAAAAACACTAATACACACAGTTCACGTGTGTTCATCTTTGAAAAATGATCAAAGTCACTCACCTATTGAAGGGAGTACGATGAAATGAGATAATACAGATTAGTGAGAAGAAACTGTATAAACCAAGGGGAGAGTGCTAGAATCACAAAATCAAACTCACCCGTCACGAGTCCATCATCACTGCCTTTCATTTGCCTTTACATGCACTGAAATGCCATGGACCTGAATTAGTACATAGAGGAAATGTGAATCTTGAAAGAAGAGTTTCTTTATCCAAAGGTATAACTGACTGAGGGTTGTATGTTTTTGGTTTTACTGCTTCCTTTTAAAGAATGATTAAGACGTTTCCACTTAATGCAGAAAACGCAATATTCTATCATCACAGGAAAGGCTTCAGATAGTTAATTTTATTTTTAAGGGAATGGGTTTTAGGAGAATAAATATTAATGAAAGATATTTAAAATATGTACAATTTGACATCATTTTTCCCAGATGAAAAAGCCTTATTTTCAAAAAAATATAAATTGTTATTGTCGCTTTGTTATGAAGATTGGAGAGCTAACGTTTTTCAGTGTTATAATTCTTGGTGATATCACATTCACCTCAATGCTCCTCAAATAATATTTTAGTATTTTTGAAAATGAAGTCTGTTATTCTTTTAAATAATCTTATACTTCAAAAATAGATTATTTCCAAATACATCAACTTAAAACTATGCTACCATTGCCTGAGGCAAACTCAGATTGGAGAAAAAATGGATAATAAAGACATACCAGTGTGAAATATGTAGTGGTATCTCATGACAGGTTCTTTGGGTGAGTGTTCCTGGAGAAAAAAAAAAAAAAAATGGTTAGGAAAAAGCAAAACCTTCAAATAGAGTAGTAAAGAGAGAAACAGAAATACGCTTTTGTTCTCCCTTAGCTTTATGTAGGAGTTCTTATGTTTGTAAACATAGAAAAGACAAAGAATTATTAAAAGAGAATAAATGTTTCAACTGTAGAAGTTTTACCCATTTGTGAGAAAAGCTGGTTTTTCAAAGTCCTTCTGGCTAATAATAGTGCTTAAATAGAGATGCAGCCCCGCGCAGGACTGTTTCTAGTTAAGCATTTTGGATGTGCTGACCAAGGAGAGAGAGAATCGGTAACTGGCCACTAGGGGGCCTTCCTACTGGTCCTTCTTTAAAACAGGGAAAGTAATTAATAAAAAATTGAAAAAAACCAACAAAACCCTGCAGGATGTACCACCAGTATTTTCTATAATACACATAGAAATAGCTGGTTGGGAGGTCAAAAAAAAAATCCTGTCATATGGCCATTCGCATAATATGAAACTATTGATTGATTTTCCCCTTCACTGAACAGAACTTTTTTTTTTTTTTAAATCAACTGCTGGGTTTTTGTTTTTGTTTTTTCCAGTTCAAATAATAGCTGTTTTATCATGCTCAGAGTTTGCTGTGTCATTTGTAATGCGTGGATGTTAACAGTGCCTGCTCTTCCTCCCTCACTAGATTTTGGGAGGATCAAATGAAGTGATTTATTTGAGAAGGTTTTATAAAGGGACATTCAAAAGTTATGTGATTGCTCAAAACAACCAAAGATTTCTATTGACTGAATTCTTGACTAGAGTACTTTGATGGATAGGAGGCATTCTTCTCCCCAGGTTTTAAAATATCTAATGATTTATTAGCCTGAAAAAATGTTTCAGTACATTAAGTTAAAAATATTTTTGCAAAACAGTATCTTTTATTGTAATATGGATATATACATGCATAAGAGGGTTGGCAAAGATATAATCCAAGGTTGATACTGCTGTTTAAATTATGAGTATTTTAATTTTTTTCCTAACTTTCTTATTTCCTGTAACTTCTGGTTTTCTTCAGTGACCCTGAAATATTTTACAATAAAATAATATTGTATTAATTAAACAAAATAGTAGAGAAAAAGAGATATTGCTAGGCTGGTGAAAAATTCCATTTTCAGCCATGATGAAATTTTTCCTTGTAAATATTTTGTTAAACATTTATATGAAGAGACTTTCATTAAAATTTTTAGATAATTTATTAATCAGAAAAACATTAGTATCAAAATATTTAAAAGATTTATATGGAGTTAGCCTTGTATAACATAAATATCTCTTTCACTGTCTATTCATCCCAAAAGGGAAATCTGTAAAAATAATGAGTTATTTTCAATTTAAATATATATCTATTTGTTGACATCCATGTTAAAGCATGTTCCTTTAAGATTTGTATTTAGAATAGGTAGCTCTTCCAAATGACTCTGCTTCCGCATTGCATTTGGTGCACTTAGGGTGACTTCTGCTAATTTATATCACATTCCAGAGTACATTTGAAAAGTGCCCCCAACTGTACCCTCTCCACATCTCTCTGAACTTGTTTTAAGAGGCATTTTGTGCATTTCCACCTTGCTTTCATAAGCCATGCAACTTTGATCTATTACTTATTTTTTCTGTTTGAATTCAGTTCCCTGGATGGCTTGAAATTTCTTTGACCTTTTACTTTTTTGCTTATTTTTAAGAACACAAGTACTGAAATAATTCCTTGGTTGTTAAAAATGCAAATACGTCAGAGAATGTCAGGTTTCTTCCCTGCATTTTATCCTCTTCCCAGAGATCGCACTGTTGTAAGCGCGTTGAATAGCCTTTATGCTGCTGCTGTTGTTTTTCTATGTATTCACATTCAGAGATATATACCTAAGGAAACAAATAGTTTGGAGGTTGCTTTCTTTTTAAAACACATAAGTGGGATAAAATTGTAAATACCGTTCAACACTTCCTTTTCCTCAAGACTATATCTTAGAGATTTGTGTCAGGATATATAGATCTACATAATTTTAAAAGATTCTACTCTTTACAAGACTAAATCCTTAGCCCTCTTTGGGTAGCTCAGGTTTGTAAGGAACTTAACGACCCAGTGATCGAAACATGCTGTTTCAAATCAGATCAGAATATGTTGGACTCCCTGCTTCATGCAGATCCTGAAAGGAATGAGGTACTACCCCTGCCCTCGAGGGGAATCCAGGGTATTTCTTAAAAGCAGGAAAGAGGTAATAAACCCCAGGACCATTCATTCTTCTGCCATATCATATATTTCACAGGAGAGAAATAAGTAATTCCACTGAAGAACAAAATTAATTTAAACTCTATGCTCAACGACCCAGAAGCTGAAAGGAACTGCAGGAGATCATCTGGATCTATCCTCTACATTTACACACTCAGGATGCAAAATTAAGTCTCAGGAAAAATGAATACCCAGGTGAAACGTGCACACAGCCCACAAGAATCTAATATGTCGCCACAGAATCTGTTATTCTGTTGCTACCATTTCCTTCCTCTGCATATGTTTGGTATCTTGAGTTTTGTCCATAGCTTAAGTAAGGAAGAGTCCTATGTTTTCCAAGAAAAGGCTTGGTCAGTATCAACCAGTAGCAGGGAGATTGACAGGCAGTTTGTGGAAATACCTGTTAAGAGACAGAAGTTTCTTTGCCAAGAGGCTAGGCAGGGCAAATGCATGCAGGGTTCTAAGACCTGCCTCACTAGTAACTCAGCTAAATGCTGCCACAGTTTCAGAGATCTTGCAGGGAGATCCCACTCGTCCCTTCATCTGAGTCGTCCCTTCATCCAGGTGTTCACATTTCTCAGAATACTGGGCTTGGTTTTCTAAGAATCCTCAAAAATGATCAAACATTGTGGGTGTGTCCAATGTTCTTCTAAACTGGTTTGGTAGGAATAGGAAATAGGATGCATGTTGGGCTCAAGGTGAGGCAGAAAATTGAGTAAAACTAAACTCCCCAAGGCAGCTGTAATCAGCCAGTAAGAAGTAGGCACCTCTACTGTGTTCAGTTATGCCTCTAACATCCCTAGATCCCAGCAGACTGACAGTGTCTAGATCATAGGAACAAGCTTTTGTTTGTTTGTTTGTTTTTAAAGATAAAATATTTATTGAACAAACAGAACCCATAAGGTTCACTAAAAAACAAACCTTTCCTGAGTGTTTAGCATGTGTATGCTACTGCTGAGTATTTATATGCATTACCTCATCAGTATCTCACAACAGGCCAGTACAGTATTTTGTTTTTCAAAAATCTACTATTGCAAACTTATTTATTTTTTAACATCTGTATTGAAGTATAATTGCTTCACATTGTTGTCTTAGTTTCTGCTGTATAACAAAGTGAATCAGCTATACGTATACACATATCCCCATATCCCCTCCCTCTTGTGTCTCCCTCCCATCCTCCCTATCCCACCCCTCTAGGTGGTCACAAAGCACCGAGCTGATCTCCCTGTCCTATGTGGCTGCTTCCCACTATCTATTTTACATTTGGTAGTGTATATATGTCAATGACACTCTCTCACTTCGTCCCAGCTTACCCTTCCCCCTCCCTGTGTCCTCAAGTCCATTCTTTACGTCTGCATCTTTATTCCTGTCCTGCCCCTAGGTTCTTCAGAACCATTTTTTTTTTTTTTAGATTCCATATATATGTGTTAGTGTATGGTATTTGTTTTTCTCTTTCTGACTTAACTTCACTCTATATGACAGACTCTAGGTCCATCCACCTCACTACAAATAACTCACTTTCATTTCTTTATATGGCTGAGTAATATTCCATTGTATATATGTGCCACATCTTCTTTATCCATTCATCTGTCAATGGACACTTAGGTTGCTTCCACATCCTGGCTATTGTAAATATTGCTGCATTGAACATTGTGGTACATGATTCTTTTTGAATTATGGTTTTCTCTGGGTATATGCCCAGTAGTGGGCTTGCTGGGTCATATGGTAGTTCTATTTTTAGTTTTTTAAGGAACCCCCATACTGTTCTACCTAGCGGTTTTACCAACTTACATTCCCACCAACAGTGTAGGAGGGTTCCCTTTTCTCCACACCCTCTCCAGCATTTATTGTTTGTAGATTTTTTGATTATGGCCATTCTGAACGGTGTGAGGTGATACCTCATTGTAGATTTGATTTGCATTTCTCTAATGATTAGTAATGTTGAGCATCTTTTCATGTCTTTGTTGGCAATCTGTATATCTTCTTTGGAGAAATGTCTATTTAGGACTTCTCATTTTTGGATTGGGTTGTTTGGTTTTTTGATATTGAGCTGCATGAGCTGCTTCTATATTTCGGAGATTAATCCTATGTCAGTTGCTCCATTTGAAAATATTTTCTCCCATTTTGAGGGTTGTCTTTTCGTCTTGTTTATGGTTTCCTTTGTTGTGCAAAAGCTTTTAAGTTTCATTAGGTCCCATTTGTTTATTTTTATTTCCATTTCTCCAGGAGGTGGGTCAAAAAGGATCTTGCTGTGATTTATGTCATAGGGTGTTCTGCCTATGTTTTCCTCTAAGAGTTTTATAGTATCTGGCCTTACATTTACGTCTTCAATGCATTTTGAGTTTATTTTTGTGTGTGGTGTTAGGGAGTGTTCTAATTTCATTCTTTTACGTGTAGCTGTCCAGTTTTCCTAGCACCACTTATTGAAGGGGCTGTTTTTTCTCCATTGTATATTCTTACCTCCTTTATGAAAGATAAGGTGACCATAGGTGCGTGGGTTTATCTCTGGGCTTTCTATCCTGTTCCATTGATCTATATTTCTGTTTTTGTGCCAATACCACACTGTCTTGATTACTGTAGCTTTGTAGTATAGTCTGAAGTCTCAGAGCCTGATTCCTCCAGCTCTGTTTTTCTTTCTCAAGATTGCTTTGACTCTTTGGGGTCTTTTGTGCTTCCATACAAATTGTGAAATTTTTTGTTCTAGTTCTGTGAAAAATGCCACTGGTACTTTGACACAGATTGCATT